CCATATCTCTGAGTTTTGAGTGGGCGCATGTCGCCAGTGTGCTGCGTTACTGTTTACATGTGTGAAAAGTGTGTTTGAAAACGAGTCTGATTGCACTTCTTCTTCTTCTGCTGCTGCTGCTGGTGCTGCTGCTGCTGCTGCTGCTGCTGCTGCTGCTTCTGCTTCTGCTTCTGCTTCTGCTTCTGCTTCTGCTTCTGCTTCTGTCTGTTTTTGGTGGTGTCGGAGAAAGAACTCGTGAAGGAAACGACTTATATATCTTTTATCTTGTATTCTATTTTATCTATATTTAATTTGTATATGATTCTCAATCTATTTGACTCTAGCAAACTGAATTCAAAGTTGATGTAAAAAACATGGCAGAGAAATTATTATATGAAGCTTTAAATGAAGGTATTCATGAAGAGATTAAAAGAGATCCTAAAGTTTTTGTTCTTCCTTCTTCTTCTTCTTCTTCTTCTTCTTCTTCCAAAAAAAAAAAAAAAAAAAAAAAAAACAGAACCTCAGAGTTCTGGCTCCTTCTCCATTTCGGGGAGCATCAGTCCGGTTCCTCTTCCACCGGCAAGTCGATAGTAAATACATGTCAGACACACACACACTCTTCCCCTTTATGGTAGGAAAGCCCGAGGAACAGCATTGATTACTTCTCTCTGGAAGGATGTACCACTCCTCACCCCTGCCTAACTAAGTTAGCCTGTTTTCTTTTACGTTGTGTCTAAACCTGGAAAGCTACTCCGAGATGTGGGCACTATATGTTTGCTTCAGGGCTTCCTTGTCTAACCTGTTCCTCTCAGTTCTCTGACTGTCTGATTCTCTATGAGCACTAGAACCGTGGACCTCAAAAGGATTACCTCCGCCTTGGAGCCTTCACCGGACTTCTTTTCTTACTTCTTCTTCTTCTTCTTCTTCTTCTTCTTTTTTTTTTTTTAATTACAGTCTGTCTTCTCCTCATATGGGGACAGCTGTATTTAATTACCCTATTACTCCACCTACTTTTTGCCTACCTGCTTGTGCTTGTCAATTTTTTCTAAAAGAAGAAAAAGGGAAGATGTTAATCACTCCTTTGAGTCCTTTGCAAGGAATACGAGCGAGAGTTATAGACCGAAGTCCAAATTGCAAAATCACGAAGTAGTCGGGAAAGTCGTGTACCAAGCCGAGAGCACAATGCACGTAGATACCATCCAAATAAGAGCAATACAGTGAACTCAAATGTCAATGCCGGCGCTGTCTGGCCACACCCACATAGTATCCAATGTCGCTCCTACTGATTGGCGCCCAGTGCCCAGCCTACACTACTCAGCCTACCCAGCCGATATAATTTCATGCAGCAGGAACACATCGAAGCTGAAGACCAATGTACGTGACGTCATCACGGATGCAGACCGCCACCATACACCAGGTATGTTCTCTCTCCTCCCGTTATCACACCCTGTCCCCCCTCTGCACGTGCCTCCTACCCGAAGACCACCATCGCCGTCACCAGCCACCGCCCACGCAGCCCGGCTATGGCCGCCGTGCGCCCGCTGCCACCACAGTGCCCCCTCACCTCTAGGCGCCCACGTGCACCCCAGCCTGCCAGTGCTAAACAGCTCTCACGCGACACAGCAGCAGTGTGGCAGCAATGGCTCAGCTGGCCAGAATGCCTGGAGCTGGGGCAGGCACTTTCCTTTATGAAAAGTGCGCCCTGCTTCGGCCTCTGATTGGCCTGCTGGGCTGAGCCCAGCAGCTTCACCTTGGGCCAAAGTGTCCCCGTACTGTGCCCTTCCGACAGTTACAAGGGCCCGCAGCATCCAGTGCCCCCGTCGTCCAGGCTGCAAGTGTTTCCTGCGATCTCGTTGGCTCGCGGCATGTGTGTGATGTTGGTGCTGCTTTCTCATTGGTCCGCAGCCACTACGTGACTTGTCGGCCTCTGGATGGCTGTGCCCAGGACCTCAACCGAATGAGCCCTGGGCTCAACTGTACGACGCAGCTGCTGCCTCTGGAGGAGCCAAGAAGGCTCACGTTGCTCTGTAACCAACTGGCGTGCTGCAACTGTCTGGTACCCGACATACGAAAAATGTCGAAAATAGGCCTCACGTGGATATGCAGGCCGGCCTTCGCTTATGGCGGGCAAGAGGCTTGTTGGGGTCCTGAGGCCAGAACGTTTGCATGCCCGAGTAGGGCTTTTGCGGGGGCTCAATCCTCGCATTCCGCTTCGAAAGTCCGCTGAGATGCTTCTGTGCAGGTGCTTTCCGCTTCAACGATCTGAGGTGCTGTTCTGACGAGTTCCTCTTTTGTGAACCAACGATCTTCTTTCGGATCTGTATGATGCCTGAATCTGACCCAATACTCTCTCATAGATTTGGGTGGTCTCCCTCTGCCGACAGGCTTGGGAACAGACATGTCTCTGTGTTCCAAGATGTCATCGACGTCCACATGGCCATCCATGGTTGGAGGCAGCATTGATCTCCTTGATGGGAACTGATCAGTCTCAGCGAAAGGTGCAAGCTTGGAAGCATAAAATACAGGGTAAGTACGCATATGACCAGGGATTCTGACCACATACGAGGGACCATCCAAATCACTACCCACAATATCTAGAACTTCCCAAGGACCGAAGTACTGTGGCGTTAGCTTTCTGGCGATACCAAATTCCTGTCCCAATCACCCATACACGTTCCCCCACCTGACATGTGGACTGTCGCCTGTGTTTGTTCTCGAAGGCCACCATTGCGTTCTGAGATTTTCTAATGTGCTCGACAGCCTGCTGCAACGGCTTCTCATACTGGACACCAAACTCTATGGTTCCAGGAGTTGCTGCTGGTCGGTTTTCTGGAAGGAGGAAGTCTAGTGCAGATCTAGGCTTTTGATACCAAATGCAGCTCATTCAGACAGACGCCTCTGGTGCTGTGAACAGCGTTGTTGTACAGACTGCCGATGAGAGGCAATTTCTCATCCCAGTCATCCTGGCTGGGCTTAATGTAGTGCCTCAGCAGATGCTGCACCACACGTTTCATCTGCTCTGCTTGGCTGTGGGCTTCGGGATGATTCCCCGAAGTCATTTGGAGTTGGCTGCCCATTTGTTCAGCATCCTTCTTCCACATTTCACTTGTGAACCAGACATCTCTGTTGCTGACTATAGACTTGGGCAGTCCAAAGTCACGCACCCAATTATCCATGAATAACTTGATGAGTCTGATGACGCGTCCGGTCCTAGTCTAACGTAATTAGTAAACCTGTCTACTATGACGAAGATGTGCCGCTTGCCACTCTCGCTGGTCACGAGGGTATCCATGAAGTCCATGGAGACACTCTGTCCTGGACCTGCAGGAATGGGCAAGAGCTCAAGTAACCCAAGCGGTGCTAGGGTTTGTGGCTTATCTCGCTGATAGACTTGGCATGTCTGGGCATACTTCTTCGCATCGTCAAGCATACTAGGCCACCAGAATCGCTGCACTAAGTTAGCATTGGTGTTTTTGTAGCCGAAATGTCCTGTTGTCTTATGGCACTCAGCTAAAAATAAACTAGAGAAAATCTCACTAGATGGTACACATCGTCTTTTAAACCCTGGCATGTCTGGCCATACTTCTTCGCATCGTCAAGCATACTAGGCCACCAGAATCGCTGCACTAAGTTAGCATTGGTGTTTTTGTACCCGAAATGTCCTGTTGTCTCATGGCACTCAGCTAAAAATAAACTAGAGAAAATCTCACTAGATGGTACACAGTGTCTTTTAAACCCTACCTTTTCAAGAAAGAGTAACCCATCCACTATACCGAACTCATCAGAGGTGGTCTTATCTTTCCCCTCTAGTCTGTGTATGATGTCCGTCATAACGGGATCTTCCTTGTCGTCCACCAAAGATCGAGCTACATCGTGTCAAACGGACCTGTCGACCGTCAGTAGCCGGATGCTGGTAGACGGACGCTGGCGAGAACGTAGGAACAGGAGGAGTGAGTTTGGAGTATGATGCGAAGTTTAGCGAGGAGGCCGGTGGAAATCTCCTGAGGAAGACGGTGTAGCTGGCGTCGAAACCCGGCGTCGGGGACACCTAGCCTGTGTTGACTTTGCCCTTAACGTCGATCTTTGCATCTACGACTATGTCTTGTGTCACTTTGCTGACACTTGTTTTCTACCTTTCATTTGAAAATGAACGTGCTAATCTTCTCTGCATGACTCCATTTTTTTATTATTTTTTTATTTTTTTCTTGGGATAAACTTATGGCTCCAATTTTAGCTGATGTCTAGAAGGACTTTTCTTTTCTCTTTTGCTTTGGACCAGTTCCTGATTTATGCTCGTCATCCTTTTTTTTGTTTTTTTTTGTTTGTGCTTATATCATTATATGCATGCCATCCTCGCGCCGGTGTTATGGCGCTCTCTTTAAATTTGTTAGTATAAACCTAGCCTACCGGAGTGGCCAGGAACCACTTGCCCAGCCGGGCCAAAAAAAAACAAAAGTTGAAGAATTTAGTATTTAGGATTTACTAATTTACCAAAAAAAAGTTGAAAACGCAATGAAAATTTTATTTTGTATTTTTAACATTTTATATAATTTTATAATTTGGTAAAGAATCTTCGATGTGACCGTGAGGCAAAAGTTGTTCGGTTTATTTTTTTGCATAAAATTGTATGTTTTTGGACGCTTTGGATTTTTTTTTGGTGTTTTTTTTTTTTTTTTTTTTTTTTTTTCCGCGTGTACCTTCCCTTGCTCTTGCCAGCTAAGGTTGGTGGCCCAGGTGTTAGTAATAATTAAAAAAAAAAAGACAGAAAAAATAAAGCGATCACTTTTCTGAGTTTAACGGATGTCCGAAGGACTGATTAGTCAATGTCAATTGTTTTTGTTTTCGTTGTTGTGGGTCTGTGTTACAAGGATCCGAGCCGAGATCCAGTCGAGAGACAGCGGGGCCAAGGACGTGGGCGAGGAAGACCAGCGCGTGCAAGGGTCCATGTCCCTTGGGCGGCAATCACGTCGAGAGAGGGCCCGAGAGTGCCGGAGGAGAGGTGTGAGGAGAGGTATGGATGCCGGGCGAGGAGAACTCAATCAGAAGACAGTCTGAACGATGGGTCCCTTGTCGACAGGGTTCGTCTGGAACAGGCGCCCACTCACGCGGCAGCAGTACAAAGGCCAGTTAGCAGCCTTTTGTCGGGTTCGGGTAATGGGCACTCTGAAAGGGGGGCGGTGGATACTAGGTCCTGGGGAGATGGGAGTGCTGAAGGTGGTGGCGGTGGGATCGTTGGAGCGGGACGGATTGTGCAACAGCCAAGAGCGAACAGCCTGACATCAGGAGTCTTCCGAACCGCCGATGGTTGGGGTGTGGATTTCACGGTCCATGGACAAATGGGTGGTGTGTTTTCGACGAGGGAGACGTTGCAGCCCCGTTTTGCGGACAACTTCTATCAAGGAGTGTTGGACCACCACGTCGGCGTTCAAAAGCTACTACCCAACAACTGCTTTGTGACGAGTCGGGGGCCGACGGGCGAGGCTTCCGCCGTCGTCGAGGCTCTCGCGAGCGGCATTTCGACGGAATGCATTGGTGGCAATTTCCCGACTTGTAGGTTTGCGGACTCCCCCCAACAAGATGCCGGCGGAGTCGCGAGCTCCAATGCGAGTCCTGGGAGCCGGGTAACCGAGCGTCTGATCGACGACATCACAACGGTCACTCGGGCCGGGGATCTCTCCTGTGTGACTTCATGCGGCCAAGAGGAAGGTGCTTCTCTGAAGAGGCAGCCTCGAGACTTCGATCTCAACATGGACTTGATGGCGAATGCGGATTCCGCTCTCGTCAGTCTGGCAAATGGAGGAGGAGAGGCAATAGCACTAGGTGGAGGTGGTCCCATAACAGTCCAGGTTCCTGTTCATGATGGGGAGGGGGGAATGAAGGCATGGGCGGAGGCCAGGCAGCACGATCGGGACCGGGATAGCATGAAAGTGCAGCGGCTGAATGGCTGGGGGTCGCTGTGCGATTCCGTCGCCGTAGAGGGGCTTCCAGGCAGTTTGTACAGGAGTAGGGGGGGGGTAATTATGGATGTAGGTGAGGAGGAGGAGGGCGAGGAGGAGGATTACGATAATTTCGACGAGGATGACTGAGTTTCATGAACGAAAAGCAGAAGAGAGAGCGGGCTTCGGCTGTAAGATGAGGCGGAGATAGCGAGGCTAGGCTCATTTTGTACTATTTGTTCCGATAGTAATATTTTTTTTTTTTTTTTTTTTTTTGTTCCGGTCTAGGCAAACGGAGAGTTCACGTCTCATATGTACAGTCTCTTACTTCACAGAAGGTTCTTCCCCTGCGCTGCATCAAGAGGGAATATAGTGAAATACACGTCACTTTTTTTGTACAGCTTTTGTGGAGATGTAGGGAGATGTAGGGCCCTTTTGCCAAGCAGGGTCAGTTGTACCATGTTTATTTCGCTTTTGAGAGAATAGGCGTTTTTGTTTTGGTCTTTTTCTTTGTGCGGCTTTTAAGTTCCCCCTACAGAGGGGTTTCGTGAACATGAGCGCCTTGTCAATCACTCCCCATCCTATCCTATCCGTTGTTCTTCTCCTCTCGCTTCACTCTCTCCGGTTTTTGTTGTACCTCCTTCTTCGCTCCTTTCCCCTTCTTCTACTATCCCTCCACTCTCTCCGCTTTTTGTTATACTTCCTTGTTCTCTCCTTTCTCCTCCTGCTCCTCCTCCTCCTCCTCCCATTGCTCTCTGGTTCCTGCGAATCCATCGATTCCGCTGATTCCTCCGATTCCTCCTTTCCTCCATTTTCGTCTTTCTCCGTCTCGTCAATGTCCTTCCGTTTTTTGTTATGCATCCTTGTTCTGTCCTTTCTCCTTTCTCTCCTTTCGTCTCCTTCTCCTCCTCCTCCTCTGGTTCCTCCGATTCCTCCTCCCTTCCCCCATTTTCTGCACATTCCTTCTAAACCTTCCTCCACGTTTTGTTATACGTCCTTGTTCTCTCCTTTCTCCCTTCTCTTCTTTCTCCTCCTCCTCCTCCTCCTCCCGTCCTCCTCCTCCTCCTCCTCCTCTGGCTCCTCTGATTCCTCCGAATTGTCCTCCCTCCCTTCCGTTTCCTCCTCCTTTCTTCTTCTCAACCTTTTTGCCACTGCTGCAGATGGACTTCCCAGTTCAAGTCCTGGATACATGGGAAACTGGAGGGAGATTACAGACCTCCTAGAACAGCTGAGTGCCCGCAACTAGACGGGCTCATAAGCAACCTGCTGTGAAAACCAAGTATTAACTTTGAAGGGGAACATTGTGAATAAGGAAGCGAGGGACGCTTTTGCGGTGAGGATGGGCTCTGGACCACACAGTGAGCAGGGCTCTGCTGGGGCATTACAAACGAATACCAGACTGGCCCGATGGCCGCGGATGAGATATTAAACTGATCAGAACAGATACTACACTTTATCTATTTTTAGCCAAAAGGCCGAGAAAGGTATAAGGTCTTCAAATTTTGCGTCCTTGTCGTATGACTGATTGCCTCCCCTGTGGCTTGAGTCGTCGTAACACACCCATGCAGTCGTAATGCGGGCGCATTGTGATCTGACGAAGACATTAGTCTGCGTATGCCCCTGCCTGGTATTGTGCATACCACGATTCCAAGATTCATTGTACGCGGACTCATCACGATTGCCCGGATGATGATCCGGACCGTCGGGACCCTGATGTCCGTGTGCTGCGGGTGTGGTGCAGATGGTCCGATTGTAGTCCAGATGGTTGGGATGGTAGTGGTATTGTGTTCTGAAGAAGACAGTAGTGTGCGTATCCCCCTGCCTGGTATTGTGCATACCACGATTCCAAGATCCTTTCTACACGGACTCATCCGATGGCCCGGATGATCATCCGGACCATCGGGACCCTGATGTCCGCATGATGCGGGTGTGGCCCAGATGGTCAGGATGGTAGTGCAATCTATGGATGCTTCGACGTACGTCTGCGCGAGTCGGAATGTTCGTATGCACTCTGACCAGGTTCGACCTGTTCCTGCCGTTCTCTGAAGTTTCTCAGATTCCACACTAAGGGGCAGATCCCACTTCTGGTCTGATTGTAGTCCAGATGGTTGGGATGTCAGTGGTATTGTGTTCTGAAGAAGACAGTACTGTGCGTATGCCCCTGCCTGGTATTGTGCATAACACGATTCCAAGATTCTTTCTATCCGATTGCCCGGATGATCATCCGGACCATCGGGACCCTGATGTCCGCATGATGCGGGTGTGATCCACGTGGTCGGGATCGGGATGGTAGTGCAATCTATGGATGTTTCGACGTACGTCTGCACGACTCGGAACGTTCGTATGCACTCTGACCGGGTCCGACTTGTTCCCGCCGTTCTCTGAAGTTTCTCAGATTCCACACTAAGGGGCAGATCCCACTTTTTCGGTTTTCGTAACTTCCTAAGAACTCGAAAGTCCCACTTTTAGTGGACCCGCCCCGGCCGGTTCGTGGAAGGAAAACGGGATCCGACAGGACCGGTGATCCTGGGACTTTTTCGAGGGAAGCGGCGTGTTTTTGTGGGCGGGTGTGCGCGGTCCAATTTCCAGGTGTCCGTTTGGGGGGCGGCTTGTAGCAAACCGGCTGTCACACACTGGAGACCGTGGTCGGACATTCCAGGACTACCGTTGAACCAACGGAAAAAATAAAAATAAAAAATATTCCGCCTTCTTTTTCGCTACAAAGTACGGGGTAGGCCTCTTCCGAAAATCGGAAGAACTACCGCGGCCCCCCGCAATCACGCTGGCGCCTCCACGTATGACAATGTTTCCACTTCCCCAACATTCCGGGACGGGATCCGAGTTTCGTGGAACGAAGCGGGATCCCAAATTTTGCCTAAAAGTGCCCTGCTTATATGAAGTGGGATCTGAAGCCTTTTAAAGGTAATCATCTGCGGCCTTTTTTTTTTTTCTTTTTTTTTTTTTTTTTTTTTTTTTTTTTTTTCTTTGTGAAATTTACAGAATGCCTCCTGTGAGAGGTAGGGACCCCTAAAGGGTCTCCTGTATAGGTTTAGGAGTAGTGGGTGGTAGGAAGGTAGTGAAAACTGATTTTGAGAGAAGAATATATATATGTTTGTTCAAACCACCACTTCATCCGCCGAACCTATTTTGACAAACTAAGAGTTGCATTTCCCCGAGCCTAAAATCTGCAGTGCTGCCATGAGGAAAAATAGTTGTGGTGCCTCGTTCGGTAGTCCTTTGTTTTTTTTTTTTCCGGGTAGTCCTCTGTTTTTTTTTTTTTTTTTTTTAAATGCTGGCGTGAAACAGAGAATTTCACTGACAAAGTAGATGGAGGCAGATACATCCGGGGGGTTCATAATTGTTTGATTTTTTTTTATTTTTATTTTTTAAAGCACCACTACCGTTTCCCATGTTGGCCTCGGGTGGGCCTCCGATCTTTTAGGAGGGCCGAAATTAAACGACGGCTGCCAATGAGATTTGTCAACGGCAGCCATCGTCCGGCCCAGCCCCCGAGTTTTTAGGAGTCGGCTATTTTCCCGTTTTCCCAACAGCCGGAAAGGTAGTGGTGGTTTAACGCTTAGGAATTTCAATTGGCAACGGGTCCAGCAAGGACAGCTACGTCTCACAATCAAGGGGATGCATGTTGCTATGCTTTTGCAGGGGTCCGTTCTTCAGGCGCAGGACGGTAGGAGGGGTGGTAGGTAGGTAGGTAGGTAGTGGAAGGTGAATTTGAGAGAAGAATATAGCTTAGGAAAAAAAAAAAAAGGCGCTACGTCAATGAAGTAAGAAGGGGGCACGTGAGGAGGAGGTGGAGGTAACTGAGGTGGTCAGGCAACTGGTACAAGCAGAGATCACTAACCGGTGGCAGGCCTCGACGTCGATTAGGAATTCCTTGCAAGTCTTTCACTCCTCGAATACAATGGTATTTTTTTTTACAGCAGGCAAATCTTTGACTCTACCTCCGCGAACCATAACAATAGAGTGCTCTTGTGAATTACGGCCGTCTCCCAGAATGTATGCAATAACCTCATTTCGATTGGTTAATCTCACTTTAGCTCGGCCAGACAGCGAATGAGCTTTGTGCATACCAGGAAAGACATTGCTAAAATAATCACACATTTCTGCAAGGAATGGTTGGGAGGAAGAAAGGGGGGATGGATGGAAGACATATCTTGGTCAGGGGATAACCCCCATCGAGAGGGAGGGGATGCGGCGGCAGGGGGAGAGGTGCCCAGAGACTACAGACTGTCCTTTCGGGACTGGACGGCAATAGACCGGCGACTGAATTCCCGGACCCATTCCCCCCCCACCTGTTATCACTTGTGGAAGTGGCCCCTAGTGGTTAAAAAAACTGTCCCGCACCTGTTATCACTTGTGGAATTGCCCCCTAGTGGTTAAGAAAACTGTCTCCAAATTGTCTCCAAACTATCTCAAACTATCTAAGAAAAATTCTGAGCTCAGTTCTCAGCATGCAAAGCTTGTGTTTCCTTTGTGTTTCCTTTTTCCCCAATAACCGCCTTTCAGAGGCTTTTGTCCTTTAGACCAGGGCTGGTCCCCGGACGGACCGGGGGCCCCTCCGATGACCGGGTCCCTGCCGGTCGGACCGGGCTGTTGACCGGCCTGGCAGGCACCCGGTCGACCCCAGCGCATTTCGCTGGGGGTAACGTACCGGAGGTTTTCGGGTTCGCCACCGCCTGCCCGGCCTCGGAGAGGCCGCCGCCAAACTATGAAAAAAAAGACGGGGCTGTTGGGCCCCACGTTTTCGCTGAAACGCGGTGGCCAATCCCCTCGGTCGATCTGCGAAGATCGACGGCATGGATTGGCTGCCGCGTTTAATCCAAAACGCAGGGTCCGAAGGCCCCGATTTTCGAAATTCAAACGACGTGGCCAATTTTGGCCGCAGATCTGGCAGATTGGCGGCCGTAATCAGCCGCGGTTGAAATTTCGAAAATCGGGGCAACCGGAGGCCCCCCTCTCCCCAGCGCCCGTAGCCCCTACGCCCGACCAACCTGCCCTGCACTCGTCGTCGGCATGCAGCTTGTTGACCCCGCGCTCATTCCAGTGGCACGTCGACGGCCTGCTGCTCTCCATCGACGACGCCCTGCCCGCTGCCGCCAAAGCCTCCACGCACCATCGCCATGCCCGCCCGCGAGAAAGCACCGACTTCCCATCGCTGTCAACCACTGAGAGGTGAGCGCACTGACCGTAGGTAGTTTTTTTGTTTTCTTCTAC